TTACAGGGTTTTATTCATAAAAAAGGGGGATTTTCCAGTTTTCGGACAAAAAATCAAAAACACTTTCAGCAGTTCTTATGAAACTTTGGTGAATAGTTTATATCTATTGATGTAAGCTCTGTTTAGAATTTTATAAATTTTACATTTTACAATTCTGAGTTATGGGGTTTTATTCATTAAAAAAGGGGGGATTTTCCAGTTTTCGGACAATAACTCAAAAATGCTGTCAGCAATTCTCATGAAACTTTGGTGAATTGTTTATATCTATTGATGTAAGCTCCCTTTACATTTTCATAAATTTCTAATATGACATTGAGAATTAATTGAACTTTAATTGTTTATAGTCTGACAACAGATTTACTAAGTATTGGGCAACAGCACAGTGTATTGCACAACAGCTTGAAATCTTTAATTGAATATAAATTCAATTCATGTAACCAATTTCAAGTTCTTTGACTACATTTATTCAGAAACCTATAATATGTCAAATATTTAATACAATCCAAATTCAGACCTGTATCAAGCTTGAATATTGTGTCCATTTTTGCCCCAACTGTTCAGGGTTGGACCTCTGCGGGCGTATCCAGCTGCGCTCAGCGAAGCAGTTTATTTAATTGGAGTTATCTTCCTTTGTCCATGCTTATAGTTGAATCAGCTACAATCAATGCTTTATACAATGCAATGTTTAATTTTGACTTTCACTGATAAAACACAAATCAAGTTGAATTTGGGTAGTGTCACTTTCATCATTATTGAGTTATGCCCCTTTATAAATTGAAAGATTGCAAAATTTTTAGTTTCCATTCTGTAACTTAAGTTTGCCCCAACCAAACATTAGGCCAATTAAAATTAATTGATAGATTTTCATCCCCGCCCGCCCCTCTGAAATCGTTCCGCCCCAATTTTTTTTATTTTGAAAAATTTACGATTTCCGGATTTTGTTCATTTTCGTTACCGGTAACTGTCGATAATTTCGTTTCATTAATAACATCCTGTTTCAAATTTTGGTTTTTGCATTTCTTTGTATGTTTGATTCGTTATACATGTATATACATGATAGAACCTTATTATTACACTTGCATATATGAAGAACACGTCACAAGAGCGTTTCATATCTAATAAAAAATAAAAAATAAAATCCTCCCACCCACCCCATTTTTTTCAAAAATTTGGATGAAAATCTACTAATTAAATTTACTTGGCCTTATGAAACCTATACACAATATTCATTACCACAAAACTAAGATCAAGTACAAATTTTTTGTTTCCGTTTTCTAACTTTAGTTTGCCTCAACCAAATGTTATGAAACTTATACACAATGCTTATTACTACATAATACAGATTAAGTACGAAATTTGGTGGCAACACTTTTACCATTCTTGAGTTATGTCCCTTTATAAACATAAAAATTGCTGAATTTTTCGTTTCCGTTCTCTAACTTCCAAATGTTATAAAAACTTATACACAACCGTTCTAGAGTTATAATTATTTATTGCGTGTTTACAAATAGAAATTGCTGAATTTTTAGTTTCTGTTCTCTACTTAAGTTAGCCTCAACCAAATGTTATGAGACTTGCACACAATGCTTATTACCACAAAACTAGGATCAAGTTCAAATTTGGATAGCGTCACTTTTACCACTTCAGTTATGTCCCTTTATAACTATATGATATGCAAGTGGGGGCATCATCTGTGTCCACATGTGGACACTATCCACATTTTTTTTTTTTTACATCTGTACTGCCTACTGGTGACTCAGTTCTGAGTGTAAATGGTCATTCAGTATGTTAAGAAAAAGATCAGAATTTATAAGGCCTATCTGGCCTAATTGATTTCTAAAATATATTTCATTGTACATGTTCAACATTTATCATTCATTTGTTTATTTCTTAATTTGTGTGAATTAACAGTAAATGTTAGTTACTACACTTTCATATCATAACAAAACTGCCTTACTGTATTGGTATCACTTATATTTGTATCCATATAACAAAAAAACTGAAAAGAGAATACTTTTGCAATAGCTTTTTCATATTGAATACTAAAACTTTTTAGATATTTAGACATATTAAGTAGATGTTCATAATATCCACTTGACATTTTATCATATGACTTCTGTAGTTAGTTTTGAGTCTTTGAAGCATGCTCACAAAGGTTCTTTTGTTGATATCATTTTCATACTGGTCAAAACTTTTTTTTTGCTTTGACCAGCTTTGGAGGAGATATTTTCAAAGAATTAATAAAAAATAACACAGAAATTCACTTTCTAGCTCATCTAGCCCCAATCATCATGTCAGGCATTGTCATTACTAAAAAACATTAAATGTCTTCTAAACTGAGAAACAATTTCCACATTTAACCAAAATCTTCTACTTATGATACTGACAATCCCCCACAAAGTAATATAAATAGAACCATACAAATAGTAAGCAAATACATGTTCTCAGATACCATCTCCCATATAAAAAAATCACATTAAGAAAAAAATGAACCTATTATGTGTTCATCTCCTAGCTACAAAATGTATCCAAAATCAAAGATGTGGAACATATATATTCTATCATAATCATTTGGTAATTAATGCAATTAGTATCTGTTGAACATAAAAAACTAAATATTACATAAACAACACCCCTAATGCTCATGTTGGTTGTCATTGTGCAACACAGTTAATACATAGAAAACATAAAACATAGAACTCCTTTTGTCATATAAAACACTGTCAAACATCCAATCATACTGTCCACACTGATCTGTGTCCACACTTGTTGTTTAATACATAAATTAATAGGTTAAAATTAGAATAGTTTTCATGGAACCAGTTTCATTATAAATAGATATTGACATTGAAGATATGATTTTATATCGAAGTCTACCAAAACGCAAATGCACAGAAAAACTTTGGCAATCCAGTATATATGAATATTACAATTTAGTGACAATTTAAAAGCATATATTATATGATTTATTTGATGGTTTTCATTAGAAAAATTATCAAAATTTAATTTGTAAATAAATCATTATATTGTGTTATCATGTAGTGTTCAAAGTGAGTACTAAAATAGTTCATCAGAAGACATCACTGTATATGAATCTTAAATACTTAAGTGTGATAAATCCCAGTTCAAAGTAACTAGTGCAATCATTCCAGGTACAAAATCACTAGTCAGTAGTGTAATAATTCCTGGTTCAAAATCACTAGTGTTATTGTAAGCCATAATAGTGTCCTGTGAAAAAGTGTCCAGTTGGACAGTTTTTCATAGAATTTTGGTATTTAATAATGTCCATTGCCATGATATATTGTCCCTCAAGTAGACAGATTTTTACTGCAAAAGTTATGAAATAGTGTCCACCCACAGGACAAGTTTTCATACTAGTTGCTATTAAATTGTGTCCTCCAAGGGAAGTAATACAAAGGTCATTAACAAGTTTTATTGTACTTGAAATTTTAATAAAATCAGAAGGATTGAGTAGAAATTGATTTATATAAACAAACAAATAATGGATGGAGGTGAATATAGATACATTTAAGTTCTAAGAAATACCCAGCTAATGCTAATAACAATGAAAGAAGATCTAGAACAATAAGAAGGGAGTGTGTAAAGTACAAAATCAAATGTGAAGAACTTTACTATATTTATCATGAGAAGAAGGCAAAAGAAAATATTGAATTTTGGTATTAAATAATGTCCATTGCCATGCAATATTGTCCCCTAAGTGGACAGAATTTTACAGCAAAAGTTATGAAATATGGTCCACCTACAGGACTAGTTTTCGTAGTAATTGTTATCAAATTGTGTCCTCCAAGGAAAATAATATTGAACAGCATCTGTTACTTGTTTGAATTTAAATCATTATACATGTATATATATGTTTTCTGTTTGGTAATAAATTAATAATAAGATCTTTTTTGTTACATCTTGTGATCCGTTTATTTGGCAATCGCCAATGGCAGTCAGCAGGGTTTAAGAACATCAGTTGTTCGACCTGCTAGTTAAATGCGTTTTGTTAAAATATACTTTTTCACTCATTTGGTCTTTTGGAAAATGTTGTTTGTGCTGTATTTAGACCCCTCTACCAAGACATTTGTTTTGCATGCACACGTATAAAAATTGCGGTTTTTATCCAACGCAATCATAGGTTTGAACGTTGTTTTCAATTAACATGATTAAGACTTGTTTATATTTTTTCGTTTGGGCTTGTATTATATTTGCTTTCGGGTTTATATGATCCGTTCATCCTATTTTGACTCTTTCAAAATTCAAGAGTCTATCCTAAATTGAGGTAAATTATATGGCCTTCCAAATACCGTTTCGATTCCTAACATCACTGAAGAGACATTAATTGTCGAAATCCGGATATGGTGTACAAATTTTGCACCTCATGTTTGCGGTATACCATCTTTTCCGCACGTTTATTTTTTTCTGTTTGGTAATTATAAATTAATAATAAGATCTATTTTGTTACATCTTGTGATCCGTTTATTTGGCAATCGCCAATGGCAGTCAGCAGGGTTTAAGAACATCAGTTGTTCGACCTGCTAGTTAAATGTGTTTTGTTAAAATATACTTTTTCACTCATTTGGTCTTTTGGAAAATGTTGTTTGTGCTGTATTTAGACCCCTCTACCAAGACATTTGTTTTGCATGCACACGTATAAAAATTGCGGTTTATTAAATAATGTTCATGTTCATGGACACTTTTTCATACCTGAGGACATAATTTCATAGGAAATTGTGTCCGGGACACATTTAAATAAGTAAATATTGTCCATGGACAGTATTTATTATGAAATAATGTCCGGTGGACATTATTTCATGGGGGACATTAATAAATCCTACATTATCAGAATCCTGGTTCAAAACATTTATGTGAACATTCCATGGATGAAAAACACTAAGTTTACTTTGTCCATTTTTTACATAAATCAGCTATGCAAGTTAAATAGTTAATTCAAATATCCCCCAAAAATACCAAGCCCCATATGCATTTTTTATACATTTCCCCTTCAAAAAACTCTCTATAGAATTTTATCAAGAGTGGTGAATATTTTACTCTGGACCTGGATTAAAAACCCTAGTGAATTTTTGTTGGTGGATTATAAACACTTGGGATTTTCATCCTCCACTGGCGGAATCAAACCACTGTTACAACTGCATGTAGGTTTTACTTTTAACCAGTCCCTTGGTTTTTTTGTGTGTTGCTTAAGTGTTTTGTGTGTGGTAATAAATACACTATGAAAATATGGAAAAAAAATTCAAAAAGTAATAATTGCCATATAATAATAATAGTATAGGTAATATAATAATTACATATTGTGTGAAAAGATTGATTATGCTAATGGTTTGTTTATATTTTCTTTGTTGAAGCTCTGTGTCTAGACTGCAGTTTTTGGCAATTCTCAACATTAGGAAAGAAAACTTGAAACAGCAACCAAGATACAAATACATGTATGAACAGTTATTGAATATGTAAAACTTTTATTTTAGCGTACTCAACATCACCTGATTTTGTACTTGAATTAACGTTTTCTGGCTTTCTAATGAACATTGAAAATTTATACTACTCTTATTGGAGACTCAGTTGCAGCAAATTACATTAAATTTAAATTCAAAAGAACACACATTCTAAAATTGAGAATCATTTGAGAACTGAAATGGGGAATGTGTCAAAGAGAAAACAACCCCACCAAAGAGCAGAAATAATCCAAAGGCTACAAATAGGTCTTCATCTCTAGCCAATGTAGAATAAACAAACAGCACTATGCACAAGTCCTAGTCACATGTCAGAATAGGTACATTGTAAATGAAGAAACTAAGCAAAATGACCATGATACATAAATTTACAAAGTTCTACTATCAGTTACTGACATGCCAGTTCCAGATTTGAACTAAACTGATTGACAGATTATGTCTTCATCATATGAAAATCAAGCAAAATCCCTCCTGTTTAGGGTGTAGTATCATACCATGGTTAAAAATATGAGAAGAACATAAAATTGTGAATGGAAATGGGGAATATGTCAAAGAGACAACAACCCGACCAAAGAGCAGACAACAGCCAAAGGCCACCAATGGGTCTTCAATGCAGAGAGAAAATCCTGTATCTTGCCAATACCGGTACCTGGTTTTAGAATAAATGTGTTTACATCTGATTTAACGACCCTATGAATGAATCAATATTAATTCCAAAATATGCCATCTTTAATTACCCAAAAACAGTATCGTTACTATATATCCCTTCTAAATAAGTCAGATTAAACTTTTATAAACTGAGGTTTACTGGGGTGACTGACAACATTTTTGTGCTTTGTATAGAATACTACCATAAAATATTTGATGTGAAATTTAATTGCACATCCAAAGTGAAATACCTGAACCTATAAGATGTCTACATGTTGATCTTTATTTATGAATGATGTCCTTGTACCGATTATAATATTTCGTAAATGTTTTGACTAGTTTGTGATATCAAAAACTTTGATGTAATAATTTTCAGTAATACAGAAATTTCTTCCATTAAAATCAAATATGTTGTTACATACACGAGCGAATCGAACAAGTTCAGATATGTAGAAACGTTACTCCATAAGATGGAGAGAATTGAATGTCAATAAATGTTTCTTATAATTAGTTCTTGAATAAATTCCAGTAGTATTGCTTTTTTCAAAGATAATATTGTATTATGATGTCATTTTTTTGTGGGGAAAAAATCCCTCTAAACTATTCTATTAGTTAGCTAATTATTCACATACATGAATAAATCCTTATTTTCAGGTACAGATGCCCTTAAAGTTTTTGATGAAGTTAAGAGCAAGATACTATCCCATCCAGCAGTGATACGGTATGACAAATTCCCAGACAATGTGACAAAGAATAACAATTGGACACCAACAGTTCACATATGAGAAGATGTTTTTAGGGTAAACCACATTGCCGGTCTTCAAATGACACAGAAATTAACAACTATAAGGTCACCGTACCCCTTCAACAAAGAGCAAAACCAACACCACATACATGACATAGTCACCTATAAAAAGCCCCAAAATAAAAAAAGTAAAACAATTCTAACGAGAAAACTAATGGCCTAATTTATGTAAAAAATAATATGTATTACTCAGCAACAAATAACAACTACTGAATTCGTAACATATGTTCCTGACATGGGACAGGCACATACAAATGTGCAGGATTAAACTAGTTTGAAGACGCCAACCCTTCCCCTAACCAGGAACAGTGGTGTAACAGTACATCATAACAACAAACTGTAAACTTTAAATCAGTTGAAAAAGGCTTAACTCATCTCATGGATACGTATAGAATTACATGTAACAAAAACACAAATTGGACATGGATGAGTACTTGTACATCCCAACAACAACAACTAGAAAACTAACGGCCTAAAGTAATTAATGAACAAAAAAATGAACGAAAAACAAATATGTCAAGAGTTTTGTGCCGACCACCTTTCCATCAGGTGGTCCGCTTTGTTTTCAAATTCCATTTTTTTTTTTTTTCGGTTCCGCACCGTAAAAATTTAAATACTAATTGCGCCTCGCTGATTTGTTTTCATAGACAAAAATGGCAGATCGTCAAATTTCAATGTTTTCTTTTATTAATCGGGGGAAGAGAAAGGCAGATGACGATGGTGATAAGGAAAATTCTAGGCCAAATAAGTCAACTAAAATGGATATTTGTTTTGAAATTGTTGAAATTGAAAAAAAGCATCAAAACAACGGAAAAGGCACGCAAGCGAAGATAAATATGAACAGGACTTTAAATGGCTAATCATCACAGAGGAAGATTATTACTGTTCTGTGTGCCAAAAATACAGCACTAAAGCGAGGAACAGGACAGAAACTTGGATCGATAGGCCATGCATTCGCAGGAGAAGGGAGTCCTGCAAAAGCCATCTAGCTAGCTGCTATCCGAGATGCACAAAACTAATTTGTCAAATCAAATCAAAGAAGAATATTTGACAGTTTATGTGACTACATCTATTTATTTTTGTTCAATTCCATTAAATGTGAATACAATACTAATCCTTCTTTTTGTGACCCCTACCCACAGTAAAAAAAAACCCTGTTGGAAATGTTTTAAAAAAAACAACACCCGGTTGCAAGTGTTTTTTTCAAAACACCCACCTTACCTTAGTGAAAAAAGGGGAACACTGTATGTAACACAGCAACAATGGCAATTAATTAACCACTGAATAACAGGGTCCTGACTTGGACAGGCACAAACACTTAAAGTATAGATCTGAGAGTACTCACAGTTACTGACAGCTAGTTCATGTAGTTCAAAGCCAATAACAACTAATAAAAAAAATCATGCATCTAAGACTAATTAAATTATCAATTAATACACATGCAACATCCATATATATGTATATAACTATATGATATTTAGTTTGATTTTAATTTACTGATAACAAATCAATATTAATACCAATAAAAGCAATATTCAAAGATCTAATTACAGTGTTGATTTTGGTAACCTTTTCGAATAAGTTTTTTTTAAAGGATCTATAAGTTTACCTGGATCGTTTCTAAATTTCTGGGCTAGGAAAACAATTTATCATATGATCAACATATACATTTGTACTCATATTTGTTCTTTTTTTCTTTTGAGGCAGACTTCATACATGTACAGGAGCTTCTAAGGAGGAATTGAAAAGAAGATTGCATTATCCTTAACTTCACATTTTGCTATAAAGATGATTTCCTTTTATTGAATAATTCAAAGTATGGTGACTTTGTTGAACGCATGTATCCCATTGAACTTGAAATAAAGGATACAACAGATACAGGTAAATCTGCCTCATATCTTAACTGACATCTAGAAATAGACAATGAGGGTCGGTAAAGAACAAAACTTTTAAGACTAAAGAGATGATTTCATCTTACTAATTATGAACTTTATATTTCTGCAGTTACCACGATCCCAATATGGCGGAGGTAGAAATAAGTAAAATCGATTTCTGCTAATTTTCCGTTTAAATGTGTTGTTTTCAAGAACTACTCAGCCGCCAGGTTGATCTGTATGGTTTTGTTGTGTATGTGTGTTATAAATATCATGTATGGCCTCATTACCGAAATAATATCTATCAAATATTTTAGGAAGATAATCGTAACTTAAATAAAAAGATAATGGTAACTTGTGGACAAATCGCTTGAAAGATTAATTGTAACTGCAGAATATTTCAATGATAATAGCTGTTGATTTTGATTTAGTAAAAAAAGAAAATCATCACTGGTGTTAAACTGATCATAGAAACTGCAGTTACCACTATCCAAATATGGCTGAAATAAGTAAAATCGATTTCTGTTAATTTCTCTGTAAACATGTTGTTTACGAGAATTAGTCTGCTGCTAGCTATGTTGATCTGTTGATGGGGACAGCGACTATATCTAAATGTTGCTTGAAAGTTTGATAGTGTTACCAGAAATAGTGCATATATAGTTATCTTAAACTAATTTACTTTTTGCTTTGTAGATATATATTCTATATATTTCGCAAAAGTTTAAATTGAGGGTAAATATTGATTGGTATTGAGTATACTTAAAGAGGTAAAACATGTACATGTATTCATTAATTTAAATGATTTTAAAGTTTTATTAGATAAAAAAATCAATCAATCAATAACTGTTTTAGCGTGCCCTTAGTACTGGCAACTTGGCTTGTGATACTCTTTGGGACTTGCAGTTCACTTACAGATATATCGACCTAGTAGTAGTTATAAGATTTTAAATAGTTACAATGATCTGGCGCTGCAACAGATGTGTATTTGACAACTCATATTAAGTCTTTTTTAAGTGATTCTCTAGACCAAAACCTAATATGCTACAAATGTCAATTGCCATAATTTGATCAAACTATCTTCTGTTTTTCTGGACAATTTGTTTTGACCTGCATCTCATTTTAGAATATAATTATGATTTCCCATCTTATGTTATGGCTTGATGGACAGACCGTATATCAAAAAGCTGTGATTAAAATAACTTGTCAATATTTTATGCTCAACCTATATATACCCATCACAATTTTCACAATAATTAAAAAATAAACATCACAAAAAATATTCATTTAAATGTAAAGTCCTATGCATACCAGTTATTTTTTTTTTAAATGTGAACTGTAGAAGCTAGGTCATTATTTGTATTGATATGCCAGGAATAGATTGTCATTATTCACAGTTATACTGTGGAACATGCTTTTTCCCCAATCTGTCAAAATTATATTAAAAAATGTCTACTTCTTTCAGGTGAATCCTTGCTGGGTCATTGAAAAACCTACTGGAAGTTCTTCTGATACTGGAAATTGAAAACAAATGGTCAGTATGATTACATTACCAGCATTGTATTAAATTCCTGTGGTAAAGAGGATATCGATTGCTTGGGTAAATGTCAAGCATTAATACATTGTACTTCATTTCCACTTCATATTGACATTGTTGATGTCGGTGAATAAGATGATAATATATGATGTTTTACAGTATTACAAAGGAAAATAATAGATTTGTAAATTACCCAAGTTTATTCTGTTTATTTATATCTTAATTTTCTCTTTCCTTTACAAGTGTTGTTTTAACTTAATTAAGTGAGTGTTGAATGTAAAAAGATAGAGATGTGGTATGATTACCAATATGACAACTATCCACAAATGATGTGGATATAAGGGACAATAAATAATGCCTTCAACAATGAGTATTAAAGATCTGAACTTGACAAATTAAAAAGAATAACGACCAGATTTATGACAAAATAAAATGAAAAACAATTAATATGGAAACTAACCACTGAATTTCAGGCTCCTGGTTCCAGATTTTGGACAAGCACATACAGATTTTAATTTGGTTTAACTTGTGAGCACTTAACCAAGGAATATTAACAATATGTAACAAAAAATCTCTCCTTTGGCTTACCTTCTATTGAGTTCTTGCATAGAGTTTTCCATCTATCAGGAAACTGACTTATTTAATTCAAGGAATCCACAATTATTTCTTTTTATTTTTCTCTTTATATTGCATTTTTTCCTTAATATATCAAAAGCTATAATAGAAGAGAAGAGAAGAGAACAATACCAAATGAACATTCAAAAGACCAACAGACAACCAATAGTGCACAAAACATATAACAGTAAAGACTGAGCAACAAGGACCCCACCAAAAACTGGGAGTGTTATCAGGTGATCTGGAAGGGTAGGCAGATCCTGCTCCACATATGACAATTGTATAGATGTAGAGATAATTTAACTTGGTTTAACTTGTGAGCACTTAAATATCAAAAATGGTCTAGTTTCTGGTGTCAAAATTTATGAAACCTGAAACTGTATTAAATGTTTCTCTTTTGTTTGGGACAGAATTAAGTATTTGTTTATGTGCATCACTAAAATATGCAAGACAGGCACTACACCTGACAACCTCATGTTTTTTTATATGACTGCAAAAATATTTTGGGGTTTGCATAATGCTATGATGCTGTCGTTGTCGTCGTTGTCTGATGACACATTTGGTTACTGGACAATAACTTTAGTTAAAGTGAATTGATCTCCATGAAATTTTACAAGAAGGTTCAATACCACAAAAGGAAGGTTGGGATTGATTTTTGGGGTTATGGTACCAACAGTTCAGGATTTAGGGGCCAAAAACAAGCATTTTTATAGTTTCTGGACAATAAACTTGTGTGTAAGTGTATGTGTAGGATTAAATAGTGTCCCCCATGAAATTATGTCCCATGGACAAAATTTCACGGATATGACCTGTGAAATTTTGTCCAGGACAGAATTTTATTATAAAATATTGTCCACTTCTGTGTAAAAGTGTCCCTTGAAAAGATATTCTATTTTAACCTTTGTTGGATATTTTTTCATAGTGAAATCATGTCCAAATTGCATAAAAGTCTTGTCTAATACCAAACTATTTAATTACAATAAATAATAAGATTAAATCGACATTTGTTTTTAAATATACAGTAGGAATCAATGACCTGTTTAAACATCTTTGGATTGTCATTTTTAACAAGATCAATAATATCATGAATACTATTCATAAATACTCGATTGTCGCTTCTTCTTGCGCATACGTTTGGGTCTTGGAGGCATGTATATAAAACATTTCATTGTTTTTAATTTCAAATTGCTTGGCCTTCCTTCTAAATGATCTTCTTTCATTATTATTAAACTCTGGAGGGTATTGACCATCAAACAAAAAGTCATATAGCTGTTTATATTCACCACTTTCCATATTTGTTCACATCAGTGTTGTCTTGATTTAAATTTCAATTATGATTTGACTAATTGATTAAAACATTTCAATGATTGCTAAATTATGTCCCTTCTTTAGGGACAGAAAAAACAGCTACACTATGAAAAATTGTCCCATGTGACATATTTTTATAAAACATCTATGAAATAATGTCCAAGTACTAGGGACAATTTTTCACTAAGGGAGACACTATTTTATTGTCGAGCCTTCGACTTAAGTCGAAAAAGCGAGACATAGCGATCCTACATTCCGTCGGCGGCGTCCACAAATATTCACTCTGTGGTTAAAGTATTTCAAATTTTAATAACTTTCTTAAACTATCCTGGATTTCTACCAAACTTGGACAGAAGCTTGTTTATGATCATAAGATAGTATCCAGAAGTAAATTTTGTATAAATAAAATTCCATTTTTTCCGTATTTTACTTATAAATGGACTTAGTTTTTCTGCCAGGAAATATTACATTCACTCTGTGGTTAAAGTTTTTAAAATTTTAATAACTTTCTTAAACTATCCTGAGTTTGTACCAAACTTGGACAGAAGCTTGTTTATGATCATAAGATAGAATCCAGAAGTAAATTTTGTAAAAAAATTAATCCATTTTTTCCTTATTTTACTTTTAAATGGACTTAGATTTTCTGCCAGGAAACAACATATTCACTCTGTGGTTAAAGTTTCTAAAATTTGAATAACTTTCTTATACTATTTTGGATTTGTACCAAACTTTGACAGAAGCTTGTTTATGATCAAAAGCTAGTATCTAGAAGGAAATTTTATAAAAAAATAAATCCATTTTTTCCGTATTTTACTTTTAAATGGACTTAGATTTTCTGCCAGGAAACAAAACATTCACTCTGTGGTTTAAGTTTTTTAAATTTTAATAACGTTCTTATACTATTTTGGATTTGTACCAAACTTGGACAGAAGCTTGTTTATGATCAAATGCTAGTATCTAGAAGGAAATTTTGTTTTCTTCCAGTTAACATTACATTCAGTCTGCAGTTAAAGTTTTTAAACATTTATTAGATACATAAACTATCCTGGATTTTTACCAAACTTGGACAGAAGCTTCTTACAATCAAAAGATAGTATCAAGAGGAATATTTTTATTGATTTACTTCCTCATTTTTGTTGAGCCTGTGATTAACAGAAAAAGTAGGCGAGACACTGGGTTCCGCGGAACCCTTACGAATTTTAGTTTACAATATTGATATTCTGTCCCGTGAACGAAATTTCACAGATGAACTGTGAAATATAGTTCAAGAAGACACAATTTCATGGGACAATGGATCTCTCTGAAATTATACCACAAGGTTCCATATCACAAAGTGAAGGCTGTGATTGAGTTTGGGGGTAATTAATTGCCCCAAACATGCAGGACTCAGGGGCAAAAAAGGGGCCAAAAACAAGTTTTGTTTTCTAGTTTCCAGACAATAATTTGTGTTTAAGTGTATGGATCTCTCTAAAATTTGCCTTCATGGTTCCATTCTACAAAGGGAAGGCTGGGTTTGAGTTTGGGGGTAATTGCTCCAGGGGGGGGGGGGGGTTCAAACTTTTTTTAATTTCAAATTTTTTGTAAAGTTTTAAGAAGAAATCTTTAAATGCACAGTATTGCGCAATTGATTTTTAAGATCTTTGACAACATTTGTTTCTTGTCAGAAACCTATATTATGTCAAAAATTTGATCAGAATCCAAATTCAGACAGTAGCAAGCTTGAATATTGTGTTCAAATTTGCCCCAACTGTTCATGGTTCTCCCTCTGCGGTAGTATCAGGCTGCGCTCAGCGAAGCATTTCATTAGTTTCTTTGTTGATTTCATAGGTATAGGGAAATCATGAATTTTAAATATCAAACAAAGTAAATATATCTTGTAGTCTAGTGTGTTTTAGTTGCATTGCATATCATATCTGTTATCCCTTGTAAAAGAAACTTTTCTTACGTTAGACTATATTTTTTTTTCACAAAATAAAACAAATTATGGACAGCATTTTTTTTTACCACCACCACCCACAGAAATAAAAATAAATTAGAACAACACTCCCTTTACATTTTGGTATTTCAAATACAACCACCCACATAAAATTTAAAAAAAAATACCTTCCCTGGCGGGACATAATATTTTCTGGAACAGCCCTTATATGTTTTTTTCGGGGGACATAGTATTTTCTGGAACAGCCCTTATATGTTTTAGTATAAAAAAAATAGATTTCAAATTTTATCTATTTCAAGTTGATAAACACAAAAAAACCTGTGATAAATTATCTATATTACTCCAACCCAGCTAGATATCAGATGTGGTATTAAGTTTGCCAATGAGACAACTCTCCACCAGAGACCTAATGATGTAGATGTTAATGATAAACCACACATTGAAATGCCTACCTGCTCATTCTGGATATGACATCAAATTTTTCATTATCGAAACAAAATACATTTTACTATCTGTAGCTAGTAACATTATTTTTATACTCTTCATAGATTAGTTTTTGCAAATTAAACTATCTCTTGCAGATGGATTCTATAATCAGAGGGGAGATGTGAAAAAAATCTTTATTAAAGTAGGTTGATAATTCAAATTGAAAAATTAAATTTTAGCACTAACAGGTGGTTTTGCATTTCATTTATTAAAAGTATTATAATTAATAGCCATGAAACAATGATTTTATTTTCAGGTCATTTTGGAAGAAAATTGATAGAGGAAAGATACAGATATACAAGAATTTCATATTTGAAATGCACTTAATATTTCTTTTGTATATGATCACCAAATTTTGGCAGTCAAATAAGGCCAATTAAAATTAATTGATAGATTTTCATCCCCGCCCGCCCCTCTGAAATTGTCCCGCCCCGATTTTTTTTATTTTTAAAAATATACGATTTCCGGATTTTGTTCATTTCCGTTACCGGTAACCGCCGATAATTTCGATTCATTTAAACTTCCTTTTTCAAATTTCGATTTTCGTATTTCTTTGAGTAATATAAGTCGACATATTCTTCTGCTCAATGATGACATTATCTTTTGAGAATATAGATTGATTACTAGAAGGACATAAATTATTCGGCTTACGAGTAATTGGCGTTGTCCAAGAACGGTAATCACGGTATGTCACAAATTTCAGTGAATATAAAACCGTCGATTATTTTATTTATACAATGACATTGTGTAAGGAAATTTAGACTGTGAATGATATCCAAAGCGCAAAGATCGTGGAACACATTGATACAAAATCATTACTGGAATAAAGAAATTAACACAAGCACGAACTTGTGCGATTTATGACCGTATATTGAGTACAAAGAGTCGGCCAACGTACAAAATGTATTATAGCTGCCATGGCTTAGATTTACCTCTAAAGCTGTCATTTCAGCCCTTCAATAGAGTTATTAAACAACTTTTTTTTTTTTGGTTCAGTTCATGTTTTACATTGTAATTATATTTGCACCTTGCATAAGAATCTTAAAAGCATGAACCCTAGTATTTTCAACACAGTTTGAGTTTTCATTTCACTCTGTACTCATAATATTTGTGTTGCATACCAATGCATATGCTTCATTTTATGGGCACTATAAATCATAACTTAGAAAGCAAAAAAATGATCTATGTAGTCTAAAAGAGAACATTTTTCCACGTTTTTGCTATTTACTAAAAATCGGTTTCTAAAGCTGCAATTACATGTAGAACAATGGTTGCCAATCGGAAATATTGATTTAAGAATTAAAACAAAAATGTAGAATTCCTTATATAAACATGATATAAGCTTATTATTACCCTTGTACATTGTGTATATGAACAACACGTCTCAAAATGGTTAAGGAGGAAATAAAAATTTAAAAAATTAAATCCTCCCACCCGCCCCATATCCACAGTTGTTGTGCATCATAAATTTTTAGAAATGTCTTCTTATAACAGCATTTTAACAAAAACTTATATATAGATGTATTAAGATAAATTTAGTAACTTGTATTAGGACGTCAGCAAAAATTGATAAATAATATAGGCCTATTATGTATTCCATGGAACAGATTTTGTTTTAGTCCATTTTTGTATAAATGTTGCACCTTTATTTTATCTTTTTCTAGATTTTATATGTGGCTCCACTCCTCACCCATTGACATGCTGGTTAAAAAGTAAAGAACACTATATATATATGAATATTTCAGCAAATTATGGTGGCAAATCTGTTAATCTTTTTGGAATAGTAATAAATTTTGCCAAATTATGCAAAAAATATTGTTTTAACAAAAACCCACATACATTTTAATGGAAAAGCCCTCACAAACTTTCATTGCATATTAGCATAGATGCAATAAGAACATTAACTAGTTGATTTATAAATTGTAATGTTTGTGACTCATGTTGACTGAAATGACATTGTATGAAATAAAGTTTGTGCCAAAAAATATTATTACTAGTTTGAACCCAGTATTATATGCAAGTTATTAGTACCTTACTGATGAAGTCAAAGGGAACTATAGGTTTGCACGCCGTTTGTCGGACTATCAGATCAAGTTAACAGTTTTCCACACTTTTTCGTCAGGCTTGAAGATATTTATTTGATATCTCTTGTATAGTTCTGATTGAATGCATTTGTTTTATTTTGTCTCCCCTGTGATGAAACACTATATTTTGGTGTATTGAATGATTGTAAGGTGTACAAGTCAGTCTGACAGCTACATGAACTGTACCATATTTTTATGGTTCATTGGTTAATGTTAAATTCTCACAGTTTGGTCTGTTTCTTAGATACTGTAAGCAGTAAGTCAACAGTATATGATGTATGGAATGATTGCAATCTGTACATTATATATGGTCTGATATTGAACTCATTTGTATGGTTCATTGGTCAATGATCAATTTTCATACTTGCCGGTACTTTGATTTCTCAGATGTTATCAACTATCAGATTTAGTGTGTGGTACAATTGTTTGGTGTATATGACCTTGATCCAACAGAGATTGTGGATTTAAGCAATTAAAGATTATCTGGCTTTCAACAAGGAACAATCGAATAACTCCGTCTCATAGGTGTATAAACAATGTATGAGGGCTTTTAACTAACTCCGACTCATTTAGGTGCATGAAGGTTGTATAGAGTTTACTTATCGAAAAACTGTTTCATTGATATGTGAACGTTATATAGGTTCTATGCTTATCTGATAGCTCGAATAGCTCTGTTTCATTGGTGTATGAACGTTGTATAGGGTTTATACACCTCAAATAAATTTGTCTCATTGGTATATGAACGTTATATAGGGTTTATACCCATCGAATAACTCTGTCTCATTGGTGTATGAACGTTGAATAGGGTATATACCCATTATATAACTGTGTCTTTGGTATATGAACGTTGTATAGGGTTTATACCCATCAAATATTGCTGTCTCATTGGTGTATGAACGTTGTATAGGGTATATACCCATCAAATATTGCTGTCTCATTGGTGTATGAACGTTGTATAGGGTTATACCCATTACATAATTGTCTCATTGGTATATGCACGTTGTAGAAGGTTTATACCAACTGAATAACTGTATCATTGGTGTATGACCGTAAGGTTGTATATTGTTTATACCCATCGGAAAAACTTTGTCTCATTGGTGTATAAACGTTGTATAGGGTTTATACCCATCGAATAACTCTGTCTCATTGGTGTATGAACGTTGTATATGGTATATACCCATTATATAACTGTGTCTCATTGGTGTATGAACGTTGTATAGGGTAATATACCCATTACATAATTGTCTCATTGGTATATGCACGTTGTAGAAGGTTTATACCAACTGAATAACTGTATCATTGGTGTATGACCGTAAGGTTGTATATTGTTTATACCCATCGAATAACTCTGTCTCATTGGTGTATGAACGTTGTATATGGTATATACCCATTATATAACTGTGTCTCATTGGTATATGAACGTTGTATAGGGTTTATACCCATCGAATAACTTTGTCTCATTGGTATATGAACGTTATATAGGGTTTATACCCATCGAATAACTCTGTCTCATTGATGTGTGAACGTTGTATAGGGTATATACCCATCAAATATCGCTGTCTCATTGGTGTATGAACGTTGTATAGGGTATATACCCATTACATAATTGTCTCATTGTTGTATGAACGTTATATAGGGTTTATACCCATCGAATAACTCTGTCTCATTGGTGTATGAACGTTGTTTAGGGTTTATAACCATCGAATAACTCTGTCTCATTGTTGTATGAACGTTATATAGGGTTTATACCCATCGAATAACTCTGTCTCATTGTTGTATGAACGTTATATAGGGTTTATACCCATCGAATAACTCTGTCTCATTGGTGATTAACGTTGTATAGGGTATATACCCATTATATAACTGTGTCTCATTGATATATGAACGTTGTATAGGGTATATACCCATTATATAACTGTGTCTCATTGATATATGAACGTTGTATAGGGTTTATACCAACTGATTAACTGTGTATCATTGGTGTATGATCGTTGTATAGGGTTTATTCCCATGGAATAGCTCTGTCTCATTGGTGTATAAACGTTGTATAGGGTTTATACCCATCAGATATCTCTGTCTCATTGGTGTATGAACGGTGTATAAACGTTGTATAGGGTTTATACCCATCAGATATCTCTGTCTCATTGGTGTATGAACGTTGTATAGGGTTTATACCCATCGAATAACTCTTTTTCGTTGGTGTATGAACGTTGTATAGGGTTTATACCCATCAAATATCTCTGTCTCATTGGTGTATGAACGTTGTATAGGGTATGTACCCATTATATAACTGTGTCTCATTGGTGTATGAACGTTGTATAGGGTATATACCCATTATATAACTTTGTCTCATTGGTGTATGAACGTTGTATAGGGTATATACCCATTACATAACTGTGTCTCATTGGTATATGAACGTTGTAAAGGATTTATACCAATTGAATAACTCTGTCTCATTGGTGTATGAACGTTATATAGGGTTTATACCCATCGAATAACTCTGTCTCATTTGTGTATGAACGTTGTATAGGGTATATACCCATTATATAACTGTGTCTCATTGGTGTATGAACGTTGTATAGGGTATATACCCATTACATAACTGTGTCTCATTGGTATATGAACGTTGTAAAGGATTTATACCAATTGAATAACTCTGTCTCATTGGTGTATGAACGTTATATAGGGTTTATACCCATCGAATAACTCTGCCTCATTGGTGTATGAACGTTGTTTAGTGTTTATAAACATTGAATAACTCTGTCTCTTGTTGTATGAACGTTATATAGGGTTTATACCCATCGAATATCTCTGTCTCATTTGTGTATGAACGTTGTTTAGGATATATACCCTTTAAAACTGTGTCTCATTGGTATTTGAACGTTGTATATGGTTTATATACATCGAATAACTGTGTATCATTGGTGTATGACCGTTGTATAGGGTTTATATCTATTGGATAACTATGTCTCATTGGTATATGAACGTTCTATAGGGTTAATACTCATCGAATATCGCTGTCTCATTGGTGTATAAACGTTGTATAGGGTCTATATTCATCAAATAACTATGTCTCATTGGTGTATGAACGTTGTATAGGGTAATATACCCATTACATAATTGTCTCATTGGTATATGCACGTTGTAGGAGGTTTATACCAACTGAATAACTGTATCATTGGTGTATGACCGTAAGGTTGTATATTGTTTATACCCATCGAATAACTCTGTCTCATTGGTGTATGAACGTTGTATATGGTATATACCCATTATATAACTGTGTCTCATTGGTATATGAACGTTGTATAGGGTTTATACCCATCGAATAACTTTGTCTCATTGGTATATGAACGTTGTATAGGGTTTATACCCATCGAATAACTCTGTCTCATTGATGTATGAACGTTGTATAGGGTATATACCCATCAAATATCGCTGTCTCATTGGTGTATGAACGTTGTATAGGGTATATACCCATTACATAATTGTCTCATTGTTGTATGAAC